AGCATAAGAACTTGGCGACGGTGATGTTTTCTAAGTACCATTTTGTGAATATGGATTTCCACGTGGGTTAAGTCGCGCCATTTTAAAGAACGCTGAACCAAAGAGTAGTTTAAATTGGCTAAATTTTGTTTTCAAAGGGAGTGAAGCAGGCCCTTGGTACATATTTTAAGTTATGGCCCCTTGTTTGTTGTAGGACAATGTTATATATGGTCTGCATCACCATAAACCACTTCTGCCGTTAGGAAAAGGGAAGAGGGGGGGGGGGGGGGGGGTCTGATCCCAGTGCACGTTGGCTGCCACTGGCTGGTGTCATGTCATATAGTCCTAGAGTGTCTTTGTCGATCTATATCTTCCACGGCTCTCGTCTTACTCTTGTAGCTGATCTTCTGAGATTTAGTGCTTGTAATGGTATTTGATCTTGCTGCATTCGGACAATGACATGATGGTCAAATAACTTGATTTGTTGTTTCTTGATGAATCTAGTGCAAGGTGCCGTTCTCACAATTTGCCTTATAGTATCATTATTCACTCTATCTCGGATGGTTATGTTGGCTTCTTTTCTCAGCCACCTCATCTTACAGGTGATGATTTTGCGTACTTTGCACTTATAGTTATGCTTGGATGTCTTAATAATGGTTACAATTGGTATATAAGTGTACTTGCTTTCTGACATCTAGTTTCGATTCTCTGTAACTATAAATTCTATTACCTTCTGTGATCATACTTCCTAGATATTTTTAAAATTGGGTAGAGCACACATCCTTGTCTAACATCTGTGTTGAATGTGAACACATTGATATGCCTTCTTGTGTTTTTACTGCACTTTGGCTTGTGTGGTGCATGGCTATGATGTTCTCTAGTAACTATTTTTGTACCCAGTAATTCACAAGATCAGACCAGTTTGTTTCTATCCACTCTGTCAATACTTTTCCTGATCTACAAACATGATATTTTGTTTATTATCTTATTATACTCACTGGCTTTTTCACACACTTGCATTAAAGTGAATAATACATCTGTGCATCCTCTGCCGTTTCTGAAACCCAAATCCATATTTACCATAATGGCCTCTTAAGATTTTCTTATGTTTCTATGTATTTGATTCATTGTAGATATACATATTATTTAGATGCACGTTTATAGATTGTTATATTTATAGTATACCTACTGCCTAGTTTGATTACAAATCTTAGTAAACCTAATGTCTGAAGCTCAGGGCAATACGTACTTCATATCAAATATTACAGTATATCCTAGTCCTCCTCTTGTCATGCAGTTCTTTATTTGATGCCCCACCCTGGCTTTTGTCGGCGGCCATAACGACTGAAAGTGGTTTCTGAACTTTTCACGGTGAACCTCATCCGCATAGTGGCACTTTGTGTCACTGGGTGTTTATCGCTTGTTGGATTCAACTAGCAAGCATTATTGCAGCTGTAACATTTATTACAAATTATTGTTTTACATTATACACTTGACCAGTTTTAGTAGCTCATTTCAACATGGGCGAAACATTTGGCCATGTACGCCAGTTACATAATGCAGTACATGTAGGCCTATACACTATAATGATAGACAAAACTGGTCTTAAATGCTAAGAAAAAATATTTATTCACCCCAAAAATTATAATTATCTTAAAATTAATTATCTCTATGTGTTTGTATTGAAATCATATTTTTTTTTTAATTATCAAAGATTTTGAGCATTATTCTCACCCACCCTGTCTCTAGTACAAATACCAGCCAATAAAACACCCGAAATCTTTCACCCCGTGTCTCTTTCCTTCCGCCATTTTGGACAGTGATTGACATGACTGTAAATCTATAACTTTGTGGATTACTAGTTCTATCATTTTGTTCATGGCGTTTATCTATTTCCCTAACAAATTAATTAAATACATGGCGTGTTCATTTACCTAAATGGCTAGCCACCATTTGTTGCTAATTGTCATGTTCTGTTTGTGACAATTTGCGAGTCGGGAGGCGGTAGTAACAAAGACGACCATGTCCCGACCAGAAAGCAGACCATGCTGTCTAATTTCCTCAGTTCGCTCGGATCTGGCGGTCTTGTGCTGAGAAACTTGATCAGCAGACATTCTAAACATGATGTTCTGTCTTATTCCTTGTCCTTCCACACTGAGAAGTCTTTAGTATATCGATTTACATCGATAGACTTAGTAAATTAAAAAAAAAAGGTTGCTTGGCTCGTGGACCTATCAGGTAGATGATATAAACTATACGAAATTTTAAATGTTCAGTTCATCAATAACCAGAAGTAGTCTTTTTTGTTTTTTAAACTATATGTTAAAAGTGGTGTGTTTAATTTAACCACACATGTATTTTTTTTTTAACCTAAATCTTGGTGCTATTACTAAATTCGGCACACACGTTTAATGAGTAATTCACATGCATCAGTCGAACCATTTGGGAATTTCAATTGGGATTGTGATTGTGTGATGGGTACATGAATAAAAAGTGTCTGACTTGAATGCCAGCAAGGGCTTGGAATTTGTTGAATTTCTTTTGGTGTCTGCCTGGGTTGTAAGATTAAATTTTCTTAGTTAAATGCAATGCGCTTTGGTGGTGTGCATGTTAAACATCCAATGGCAGCTGTAAATTGCAGGCAGTATGGCTTCACTGCTGGCCAATAATGTTCATTGTTAATAACCCTCATTCACAGTTCTTGGGCTCATATTTTGGGATAAAATGAACCCACCGCCCCATGAGCATGTCACAATGATTAAATTACTGAAAGTTAGTAAGGTATGTTGGGGTAAAAGTTTTGCTCATATTTATCTGAGAAACAACAGCTCTCTGCTAGACAACACAATCCAGTCAAACTAGATTACTTATTTACTGTCAGATACCTCAGTGATATTTCTTTTATACAACTTAATGGGGTTTTCTGGGATTTAACCATTTTGAATTCATACCCAGTTGTGTGTGTGTATGCCACTCAATTTAATATTTCAACCTAGAATTTCAGAGTGAAAATATATATTAAAAAATACATACCTGCTTGTTTCGAAAAAAAAAAAATTAAACTGCTGAACATTACCTTGGTTTAAATTTTAATATAAGAGGAGGTAGGCGTTGAGCTGTTTGCCTTGCGTACTACAGGTGGTGGGTTCGTTTCATGGCCGCAGCTATTTCTGCAGACCTTTGATGATTGTTGCTGGTTCTGCTATGTTTGCACTTTGTGTGGTGCTCTCTGCAGGCATCTAGCCGTTGTGTGAATAGGGACAGGGCAGTGTGGGATGTAACCCGGTACAGTCAAGTGGATTCTCTGGACTAGACGACATGAACCTTATGCAGATGCATAAAGCTGACAAATAGAATGAATTAGGGAATTGGGTTGGATCTGTCACACAATAAGAAAACCCCAGAGCAATATTCTAGAATGTATTTATATAACAGGGCTGTAAAAAGGCACCTACAAAAGCAACAACACATAGAGATGGGGACTAGAGAGAAGCTGAAATGATCGGGCGAGCTGTACGCAACAGCATGCCCCTTGACAGGCATGTTATAAAATTTGACCAACTGAAATTGGGTATTCGTTGCTCATTTTAAAGATCATCTTCATAGCACACTGGACATAACTCTAAGTGCTCATTCTCCTCCAGAGTATGTCTCCAAGTGTTTCTAAGCTAATAACTTGCATTCTGTTTTGGTTGATGTATGGGTTTCCCGTCTTGCCTCTCTAATTGGTAGAAATTGAATGTTGTTGATTGTAATCTTGTGTAGTCAAATCTTTCGACAGTCATTTAGTATTGTCAAAAAATGGAGGTCACAACAAGAAGGGATGCCATATGAAAATCAAACAGATGGGATTTGCATTATCAGCCTATTGTGCCTGCCTAATCACACCTAAGCACAAACTTCAGGGCTGCCCTCTGCAGAGAAAAAAACCCTGCAAGTAAACACATGACCAAAGGCAAGCGCCATCTAGGACCAACTTTGGGAATCCGCTGGGGACTTGCTGTTTATGGAGGCAACATAACTGATAACTTGGAGCAACTTAGATGTTTAGAAAGAGGAGTTACTTAGATGTTTAGAAAGAGAGTTACTTAGATGTTTAGAAAGAGGAGTTGACTCAAACTTACCAGATGGTGGGAGCGTGACAGTTTTTTTGGGGACATGCTATAAGAAGAAAGAAACTGGAACATGTTGACCATTGGAGATATCTATGGAAATAAGAGTCAGAGAAAGATGTTAGAAGATTCTGGACAGCTTTTTGTCATAGCATAGGAAGGTTGTCAGCACTGATACCTACTGTTGAGAGGCATGAATGCTTATGCTATTCAGCCGTGGTCTTGAGGCATGGCGTCTGCTTTGAGTTCTGGAGTCCTATTTTCAAGTTCAGACGAAAGCCGGAATTTTTTCACGTGGACTTCTAGTAATTTCCCCTGGTCGTTGGGTAGTGAGATTGGAAGCCTGTGTGTGCTGTTACGCATGTAAAAAAAATCCTTTGGCAGCTAGAAATGGAAAACAGTAGCCTAATATAGCTGCCCGGGCAAAAATCTACCCAAAGTATTAGGATTCTTGCCAGAGCCCTGCCCTGAGCTACTTGGTACTCAGACTTGAGTTAAAAGTAGAACAGAGCACTTATGGTTTACTGCCACGTGCCAAGATGTTGATCCGTTGTTCATACTTCACCATTTAGCAAGACACTTCGGGATAATAATTTTATCTCCATTGATATCTTTAGCCCTATTGGTTCAAGTGAAAGTGTTCTGATAGTACTGTTTTAAGGTTTTCTCACCGTGTGTCCCATCTGTGATAATCTTTTACTCACCTGTTTAAAAAAAATCATTTCTTCCAAATCTCATCAATGATTCTGTCATGCTATTTCCTTCATTTGCCTCTGCTCAGGCACAGTTAAATACATCTGAGTTACTAATTGTTTTTAACTCGTTAACCCAGTTAGGCATGGGCAGTTATGCTTGAAGTGAGTGCTTTATCTGCTCCCTCCATGACTTGTTTTTGTTCTCCCTCAGGAAATGGAGGAAACTAACTGCAATCAGAAATGGCTGTTCACGGAAGAGGAACTGCAGAACACGCCGAGTGTTCGGGCAGGCGTTACAATCGAGCAGGAGCTGACCTTCAGACAGAAGCAGGCCATGCTGATTCAAACCATTGGATTGAAGTCAGGCTTGTAAGTCATGCGTGTTTGTTGGAAGTCGGGCTTGTAAGTCATGCGTGTTTGTTGGATGTCAGGCTTGTAGGTCATGCATGTTTGTTGGAAGTCGGGGTTGTAAGTCGTGCATGTTTGTTGGAAGTCGGGGTTGTTAGATGTTAGTCACGACTGAGACTTTTGACAACAGTGCCAGCTGCATTTTTCAGTACTAGGATAATACATTCTCCCTTTATATGAAGACATTCATAGTAACCAGTCCTTGTGAAAAGTGTCTGCAGAAAAAAAAAGATTATTGATGTGAAACTTATCAGAGCACTAGTTGTCTTAACACAGGTCTTTGATTACAAAAACTGCAGTCACATAAAATAGAAATGGCGCTTATGACTCCAGACTGGTTAGCTAGTTAAACAGATCATACTCATTGCACATTGAACCAGTCAGTCCAAACATCCTCAAATCCCTTCACCTAATTTCCACAGTGTGATAACCCCAGTTCTGTGTTGGTTTATTCTTCTTCTTTTGTGTCTTTCATAGTTCTATCATCTCCCTGCAACATTCTTTTCACCTGCCCTTGAGCCCGATGATAGTCATTGAGGAAAAAAAATGTTTTAGTGACAGCGTCATATTATCTTGTTTAGACGTCACACATAGGGTTGGGTTGTTCACCTAAGTTTTCTCCTTTTTTTAGATGGGGATCATCACGGAAAAAGATCTGTGGGGAAGATTTGTCTCACGGGCAGTTGAATAGCCCTGACGTAGGGGTTGCACTCGACTCCTCCGTTTTGTTCTTAACAGTCCTTTCTATGTAGCAGATAAAGTAAAAAGGAAAGGTCCCTTTTCCACGCCTTTAGGCGTATTGGAAATATAGTAGTCCTATATTTTTAATTGACCAGTCGACACTTGAAGTGTCAGCATCACGCCGGTCACTTTTACTTCCCATGACTGCACCTGGTACCCACTCCTGGGTAGACGTGTGAGTCAAGGTCATTTAAAAAAAAAAAAGTCCTGCCCCCTCAGAATGTGAAACCACAGCCTTCCAATTTTAAGGCAGGCGTCTGTCCGCGGCCACAGCGACTACACCATGTAGCAGATGTTGATGTCTAATTTGCTTGACTGGTTTTATGGTGTACCATATAAAACTCTCTAACATGCATTGTCGTAGGTATGTAATGAGCACCATAACCTCTGCTGCCCTGTAAATTTTTTTGCTATTTCGGTAATAGGCAGTTGTGAAAACACACTCACACAGAGATCAGACATCCTCTCCACTGGAAGATAAATTGCACAAAAAGAAAGTGCAAAAACTACTAGCACACTTTATTCTGCTCCAGGACTTTGGAAGAAACAGTGATTGCCCATTTGTAAAACTTGAGTGTTTTTGCACTGGAGCCCACAGGACAGCCGAGTAGAGGCAGTCGAGGAAATGCAAAGAAAGGGTAAAATGGGGGTGGGGTGGGATTGGCTGCACACAATAGCAAAATGTAAGCTGGTAACTTCACATTAGTTGTTAGAGGGCTTACATTCCATTGAGACAAAGAGCAGCAGAAGATGGAAGAAGAGTTTATTAATTGCACACTCCAGTTTGCAAAGCATAGGACTGTGATCAACCCTAGGTAGTATGTGCTCTAATGTGATGTAAAATAAAATATTCTTGCAGGACCCAGCTTGCTGTCAACACAAGTGTGATCTTCATGCACCGATTCTTCATGTATCGCACGGTGAAAACCTACCCCAGGATTGTAAGTGCCTGTGTTTATGTTCTTGTATCTAAAGTTTCTTCATGTGTTGAATTAGATTGTTTTGCTGTCTGTGGCAATGCTGCCTATGTTTCAAAAGAAATTACCTTATTTTATGGTGTTTGGGCACGCAGGCCTGTCTGACATTCGGCCCTTCTAAGCACTCGTTTTTCAGAGTACCAATGCTTGTTATCTAAAATGCATGTTATGGATAGAGAATAAAAATATACATTATAGAATAATGATGTGTGTATGCATTATTCTATAATGTATATTTTTATTCTATATCCATAACATGCATTTTAGATAACAGGCATTGGTACTCTGAAAAACGAGTGCTTAGAAGGGCCGAATGTCAGACAGGCCTGCATGCCCAATTTGTAACCCTTTAAAAATAAAGTTTGTTCGTTCGTTCGTGTTTTTCTTTTCTTTGAGCCGCTGTAGTGTAGCCACAAAGCGCTTGACTGCGGATCTGAAGGTCGGTTGTTCAGGTTCTGGCTGAGCTAGACTTGGCTCCCAGTCGACAAGTCCTTAATTGGATACCAGGCAAAGTTTCAGGAAGTAAAGGCGGTCAGCATGATGTTGACCACACCACCTACAGAGTGCCGATTGGTCTATAAAATATAGGTCTAGCACCATATGCCCAATACATCTAAAGGCGGAATAAGGGAAAATGGTTCTGGCTTCTCTACCAAATGTCAGGTTGCAGTGGTATAACTATTCTCATGGGAGCCTATAATTACTTTTTAAATCTGAAGTTCTAGTTCTGAAATAGTGTTTTGGGTCACATGTCTGATTGATTTGCAACTTCGCTGATAGCTATTTCTTTCTGTCTCAGATGACTGAAGCATGAATAACATTGTAAACTCATAATTTTCACATATCAAAGTCAAACCCATAATTTTCAGTTTTCAACTAGTAAATGTGAAGAGGAAGAAGAAGAAATATTGAAGTGTTATTTTGGATAGCAAAATTTTTTAATGTAATAAAGTGTAAAATCATACTTTGTATGAATTAAATGAATGAATTATGAATTAATCTGTGAATGTATATATGTATTGGCTCATATACTTGATTTTCTCTTCAGCATCTTGCCCTGGGGTTTGCCTTTGCCGGAGGGAAGGTGGAAGAAAGTGCCCGTAAGCTGGAACAGATCATTCGCACAGCTGTTGAAGTCATACGTCAGAACAGAAATAAGGAGTTCCTGGACAAGGCCGACCCTCTGACATATGAAATGGACTGCCAGTGGCGAGCTAAGATGCAGGTCTTGTTTGATAATAACTGCAGTATAGAATCGCCGGTAAGTACTTCATTCTGTTGCCGTTGTCTATTACTGCCTGAATCTATCGCTTTTTAATGCAGTGTCGGTGGGAGCATCTTGAACATGCATAGCTAGTTGTGAACTGCGCAGGTTAAGGTTTGTGCGAGCCTGTCTCCTCCAACCTCCCAGAAATGTTCTTCACCTCACAGAGGATTGACGTCTTTTGTCTGTTTCATGGGCACCTACTGTTAAAGCCACTCCGCCGGCTGATCCACTTCATGCCTCTTTGCCAAGTTACAAGGTCTTGTTCCTACAGTCCAAGCTATGTGGCGTTGGTAGTCATGTCTATCCACAAACTTCTTTCTCATGTACTTTCTGTCAGTTCTGACACAATCTTTCATGCCATGATGTCAGACTGTTCAGCATCTAATATTTATGTAGCCTGTGACTAATTTCCTTGTTTGGTAACATGTTTTGTCTTCAGCTGTTCAAGCCCAGAGTTCAATCCCCATTAGTGCCTTCCTTGACATTGATTGTTCAGACAGGTCATTGTATCTCTCTATAAAACCTAAAATGGTTCCACTCTTTATTTAGATCTGAATAAAAATGTTAAGTTAAACAGATTTTACCTTACATTTTGTATGACATGTTTTACATGTTGTCAGATTAATTTTATCATCAAGTTCGCAGAGGCAGGTTTCTTATGTCTTCCAGTATCCTCATAGACCTTGGTATTCAACATTAATTCTGTTGAAGGTGTTCAACCATGCAGCTTAGTCGTTCCAGTATTATTTTCCTTGGTCTGCGTCTTCTATCATTTTGATTTCTGGTCATCGTGAACGTCGTTTAGTGCAGCGCAGCCTGGCATATGATATCAAATCTGGTTCGAGAATGGAGGTGGAGACAGTCTCTGCAGCTTTTTGCTGGCTTGAGATTCACCTGTAACTGACTCACGCATCTTGTTGAGAAAGCTGGTGGTAGGCATGCTCCATACGGAGTGGCAAGCATAGCTTCTGAGGTCCTGGGTAGTTAGCATCCTATAGATACAGGTTTACCTATATATTATTTCTCGTTTCTTGATCTGCCTTATGTTCTGCCCCCATTCAACACTCTTGTTACACAGATTTTTATCTTGCTATTCTCTTGATATGCCCTGAGTATTGCAGTCTGCCAGCTCTCATGGTGCCTACAAAAGCCATCATTTCAACAGCTGCATTTTTCACCGCATGAAAAACACTGATCTCTTTTTTTTAAAGTTCGATAAAAGCTCATACTTTCAACTCTTTCCAGGCGTCTATTGTAAACTTATCCTGGCTGTCCTAGGTGTCTGCATATTTCTCTCGGAAGCAACAGTGTCCAGGCTTTTCCTTATTTATTCTTTCACATTCCAAGGTTTCTTACTGGTTTGGTCTTCTTCTGCTTCTTCTTCCTCTTCCAGTTGCATTCGACAAGTAGAAAGTTGTCTGGAAGGTAAGGCTGGTGTTGTGCTGATCACATCACCCCCGAGGGTTGTTTGGTTGATCATACATGAGTGCAGCACCATATAACAACATGCCATAATTACATGGAGTCATTTGTCTTGTGTGTGACTTTATGAATATGAATTACATGATAGAATCAAATAAATTCAGTATATCCTTGTTCTTTTGTCTTTTATTGTTGCTCTTCTGTTAGTGATTGTTCTCCTGTTTCTTTTGTTAACTCTCCTGTGTTGTTACTCTCTTGTACATTATTGTTACTCTATTGTTATTGTTCCTGTCATGTGTTATTGTTACTCTACCAGACAGGCTATTTTAGGTGGTGGTAGAAAGGCTGCATGCAGTCAACCCCCGAGGGTTGTTTGGTTGATCATACATGAGTGCAGCACCATATAACAACATGCCGTAATTACATGGAGTCATTTGTCTTGTGTGTGACTTTATGAATATGAATTACATGATAGAATCAAATAAATTCAGTATATCCTTGTTCTTTTGTCTTTTATTGTTGCTCTTCTGTTAGTGATTGTTCTCCTGTTTCTTTTGTTAACTCTCCTGTGTTGTTACTCTCTTGTACATTATTGTTACTCTATTGTTATTGTTCCTGTCATGTGTTATTGTTACTCTACCAGACAGGCTATTTTAGGTGGTGGTAGAAAGGCTGCATGCAGTCATGGGACCTAGGCTGCACTCTCTCGTGGGACGTAGATGGGTTGAGGTTAGGCTAAGTTCTAGATGTTTTAGGGTAGTTAAGAGCATCAGAAAGCTGGAAAACCCACTCTTACCAGCCTCTCAAACATTGGACTGTACTGTAATGTCATCTTCGGGTGGGGGAGGGGTATAGAAAAAACACTTATTGTTTCTCTCCCTTGTTGTTGCTGTTGTTTTTGTTTTTGCTGCGGCTATGTGCAGTCATTTCCAGCAGGGCTAGAAATAGTTTGAATGACAAGTCCACTCTAAGAGTAGTAGCTTACTGCAAGAGTAGTAGTTGAGAAACTAGACCTAACAATAAATAAATATACAATTTAAGGACGAAAATGGCTAATCAAGAAATCACAGGAAAATGTTGCTGTCATGGTCAGTAAACACAAATAAATTGACAAGAGGGATCTGTGCAACACAGGTTTTGAATAGGGGTAGACTATAAGACAGATCAAGAAATTGTAGAGAGATTACGTCAGCAGATCTTCGAACATATGGTGTCACCAACTGGAAGGACAGGGCCAGTTGGTTTATAGACTATCAAACACGCTCTTTTAAGCGGCAGTCTGACAAGTAAATTTTCTTTGAAGAGAAAATGTGAAAAGAGCCAGCGTACTTGGTGGGAATAGGAAACAGGCAAGGTGAAAATATACATCGATGGCTTTGCTGCATGGCATTTCGATTCTAAACCACAGACAGACTTGATATAATGTTGATCTTGTGAGAAGGCAGACCATGCTTATCTGCAAAATCTTGAATGATATACCCTTTAATTTGCTCAATGAGTTGAGGAGCTTCACTCATAGGCCCACAAATAATAAAGTTAATGTGTTTCTATGTAAGTGGAAACACATGTTATGGGCAATAAAAGTACAGCTTTGCTTGTTATCAGTGCAGTTGTATTATATTGGAAGCTCAAAACGAGCAGATCGTTATAGGTGTCCTTGGTGTGCATTTAAAGTTACTGGGATGAAGAGGCGATGAACCACATGTGGCTTTGCTCAGACTTCACCTCTCTCATAGCAGCAGGCTCCAAATCTGGATCGGGGCCAACATAGATTGAAGTTTCATTCAAAATCTGAAATCATCTGCCTGAGCGGCAAGGAATCAGTATTCTGCTCACAAATGAACAAGATCTATAAAAATGCATGATTTTGACCATGCTAGACGTTAAGATGGTCAGTGGTGAGGAGACAGAGGCAGACCTCTGTGAATGTGGATACTGAACATTAAAGATGCATTGATTATGACTGTTGATTGTTGGCTATAAAAGCACATAAAGCTGGAGAATTGGTTAGAGAAAGAAACTTTCAGGTATGCCGGGATAAGAACAACATCCTGTGATAGACCTGCTGATTAACGATGATAGGCCACCTTAACCAAGTGGCAGTACAGTAGTTCGAGTGCATGCTTGTCAGCTCAGAGATCGTGTGTTCATGTCCCATTTTAAGGCAGGATCTGTTTTCTCTAAACTGGATGTGCAGGCTGACTAGGTCTAAAATGGGTACCGAGAAATTTTCTGGAAGGTGAAGGTGGCCATCATGATATCTCAATCATCCATCAGTTGCTGATTGTAACAACAGTATGCAGCAGGCATCCTATATCCATTATGGAAGAATAGACTGAGAGCCCTGTGTGGCATGTAATGGCACAGCAGGACAGAGGTGATGATACTTGATATTGACATCATCACATCAGTCATCGTTTGCCGGTTGGTCTGGTAATATACCTTACAGCACACAGCTTTTATATTTATGGCATTGTGATGCTGGGCTGTCTAGATTGCCTAACTCCCTGGGTAGCAACCAGAAGTGCACTGTGCCAGTACTCAAGGAAATATAGGTTGTGTTTCTGCCTTCCCCTTTGAAGGCAGGAACTCACAGTTTGCTCCTTCCCTGCCGCCTGGTTCTCTGTTCTTCATGGCTCTAAGCATGACTTAAGAGTAGTTGGGGCAACTGGATCGTCACATGCTGAGCCCCTGTGCCTTCACAGTAGTTTCAGGTGTGTAAGCGTGCCTCTGGCTCCCCCACTCCCACAGAGGGCAGTATGGTGTGGTGTACCAGATTGTTTTCTTGAGGATGGCCCCTCTAGATCTGTTGGGTTTTAGCCTGGAGATTCGCACCCCCAATTACTAGGATTACTGCACGTAGGGTGCGGTTCTTCGGCATGTACAATAGTCTTGGGGTAAGGGTGGGTGTGCCTGGTCAAGAGGCTGACTCCGCAATAAACGCCCCTTTTTTTGGGACAGATATTCACTAGACGTCAGGTGAAGTAAGTGGACAAAACAACCCACAACACCAACATACCCCTGTCTCTTAAAGCTCAGCCCCACTTTACAACAAACATTAATGTAGTTGTCGCTGTTAATTAATATATGTAAACGTTTTCTTTTGTCCTCGGCTTGTTCCATAAAGTGTCACACAGAGTAGTTGATGTAGTTTCCTGTGTTTTGCTAGTTGTGTAGCTTGTATTAATAGTAGCTTGTGTCATGTTGAGTTTCTATAGTTTCTCTTTTACTCCATCCGCCCATATCTTTCTTGGTAGTCCCCTTGTAGCTGTTGTCATGTTAATCTAGTATGCTCAAGCTGCTGGCTGATTTTGTTCCATTTTGACTGTATGACCAAACCATTTGATACTTTGTAATTTTTTTTTAAATTTTGTTGTTCTATGCAGTCATTTTATTCTATGTTAACTTATATACCATAATGGACATTTTGTGCGGACCTTTACCTTGATTGTATTGATCCCGTATCTTGTTCACTTACATCATGTACCCTTGACGAAGTCAAGCACAAAGAACTAGTAACTGTTGAGAATTGCTGCCTGTAACGAAATGGGCTTGTCTTTGTCTCACAGGCTTACATGGAGTTTCGCAAACTTGTCCTCGAATGTGAGACTGAAATCTACGGAGTCATTGGTAGGTTGAGTCTCTTACTTAACTCTGCCTCTTGCGTTTTAACTTGTGCAGGCTTTGCTGAGCTGTAATGGAAGCTGGCAATACCTGGCCTGGTTCAGTACAGCTGCTGGTGTCATGGCTTTGGCAGATGTGGTTTGTACTCAGTGGTGTAATAGTTGGTCACTTGCCTGCCAGCCCAGATTTCTAGGGTTCAACTCCATGTTGTTAAGGGTCACCTAGACAACAGATGCCTGCACAAGTCAGTTGCAGTGGCTGAAAGGCGCAAATGTTGCATCCATGTTGTAAACGAGAAACACTCATTTCCATCTTTGCATATATGCAGAAAAAGAAGCTATCCGCATGTGAGCGGATTTTCCTTTAAAATTGACCTTGGCTGCCAGGTCACTTCCTGGTCAGAATTGTGTACCAGGTAATGTCCTTGGAAGGAAAGGCAGCGGGGAACGTTGACCACAAATCCTGATTTGTTAATAAAAATTTAGGTCTGCACTGTATGACTGATGCACCTAAGGTGTGTGTGTAAAGGGCCCGACCTTCTCATCGGAAAAGCACTGTCAGGTAGGAAAACAAGAATTGAACCCAGTATAGAGTGCTACTCAGGGGGGTTAACAGAGAACGGTAAACCAGAGATATATTGGGGGGGGGGGGGATCTTAATGCCTAAATATTTTAATGGTTTAATGTGCTACATGAGAATGATCTGTTGACTTATGAAAACACTTTAAAGTCAGGCAGATTCTCTATCAGATTAATACACTTTAAAGTCAGGCAGATTCTCTATCAGATTAAAACACTTTAAAGTCAGGCAGATTCTCTATCAGATTAAAACACTTTAAAGTCAGGCAGATTCTCTATCAGATTAAAACACTTTAAAGTCAGGCAGATTCTCTATCAGATTAAAAGACAATACTAGGCTGTTTGGTGTGGGATCATGTTTTGTTGTTGATTTGTCCACATATCCCAAGTTGGGTGGGTTTGTCCCATTATCCCAGGCCAGGCGGGTGATGTCTGAGATGCCGAGGACAGTATTTGTGTGCAGTGTGGGGGAGGGGGGGCAGCCATGGTGTAGCGCTAGACTCTCCCCTGCTGATCTAAAGGTTGTGGTTTTAAAATTGGCCCAGTGCCGGATTTTCTGGGAAGTCAAGGAAGCTGGCATGATGTTCATCAAATCATCCATCGCCGGATGATGGGTTTCATGAAATATGAGCCTAGTTTCATGCTGATGTGCCACTAGTAAGGCAGGGAATAAAGATGTTTAGAGAATATGTAAACAAAGTTAGATAAAACAAAGTGGAGATTGGGGATAAAGTGGTCGCAAAGACAAACAGCAGAGATTGGTTCATCATAGTCCTCACACCGTGAGCTGAAGCACTCCACTGATGGTCTCTCTGAAGCTCTGCTGTCAGCAGGGAACTAAAATACACCACTTAAGCACTTACTGCAAGACTGCCCAGCATTGATGGAGCAGAACTGGCACAAGGAGCTTCCTAGAAGCCAGTAAAGATATACCATCTTGTTTATTTACTGTTAGTGTGATGTTCAGGCTGCAAGGTGAATGTCTTGACCACTTATCTGAGGATATTTCTAAAGGAAGATGAAGTGTATTTCATTGCAGTTTAACAAGACAGAATCCTCATGCTTTCATATGTGCCAGCAAACATATAGTCAGGGTTTGTGCTCTCTGGCAAACACAAGCCTTTGATAACTTTTAATTGCTCAAACTTGTTGCATTGTTTTACATTTCTGTGGTTGTTGTTTCAGTATATGTGTTTATTTCATTAAAAATGTGTTATAGTATGAATAGTCTAGTCTACAAAGTGTTAGGCACTGTTTGTCACTTATATAAGCAGAAGACATCTATAGAGACAAGAGGACAGTTTGAACTAATCTTACCTTGTTTTGTCATCAGGTTTCCAGTTGCAGATCGTTCATCCACATAACTACGTTATACGGATGTGTGCATTATTGGGTGGTAGGTTTCCTGTTGTTGATGTTCAACTTTTTATTTCTATGTTCTGTTGTTGAGTGCTGCGTGTTTCTTGTCTAATCCAGGGTTTCCCCGTTAGTAAACTACAGATTTAAGAGGTTCATATTTAGGAAACGCCTTCAGTCCTTTTTGTGTGTGGGACTTTGGAGTTCAAACACAATCTGTTAGGAGATAAAGGTTGCATTCCAGATCGGTTTAATTCTATGGCAATTATTCTCATTCTCAAGGTCCAGCAAACTCAAATTTAAAAAAAATGTCTTGTCTTCCTGAACATAAGACACTGAATACAGCAACCAGTTATCATTTTTAAATTAAAAAAAAAAAACTCGACCAAACAAACAAGCTAAAAACAAATCATAATAATTCAGTTTTGTGGAAAAAAAACACACGAATAAGCATAAATTAGTAAAATAAACTGCGAAACAAACTAAAGCATAGACAGTGCTGTGTGTATTCAAGTTGCTTGAATTTTGAAGTGTTCATTTCTGAAGCCACACTATTTATAAATTATAATTTCTTGAAGGCATTTAAAAAAAAAAAGTTTAAAGCTGGCAAATTAAAACTTCACATGGCTTTTAAACCAGATATTGGTCCTCTTTCCATTTTTGGATGAAATATATACTCTCACTTTGACCCTAGGGTGTGTATCTCAGATAAGTATAGAAAATATATGTGACACTATATTGTGCATACCAAAAATAAATTGATAAAGAAAAACTCAGTAAAAAGACAGAGGGTGGAGTGGAATGGAAACATTAACTGTGAGCTTTATATGCCATGCAGTTGCACAGCAGAATGATATATTTTGGATGCCTCCTGCCAAAGAATGATAGTAGAAGTGGATGACAATTTAAACTTTTGGGTGTCGGTCAACCTACAATGGTCAAACAGTGGCAGCTGGACATGAGCACATTCAGATTGTTGCTCACACAAAGGAATGGAGATTCTACAGAAAAAGACATAATAAAGGAAATAGCCAGATTATTCTCTGTAGTCTTTTGGACTCCCTATAATTTGATTGGAAGGATTTGTGCATGTTGAGCTATTTGATCACACTGAACATGTATCAGAGGAGGTTTGCTGAAGCAGTTAAAGTAAGGCTGGGCAATAACCACATTACAGAAACAAAAGGAACACACTTGAGCGGTACCATCAGTATTGGAACTCTGCACTGGCTGCTGAAGATGAGGACAGAGTATGCATGGAAATGCCCTACTGAGTGCTGTGATGTCAGTTCTTGACTTGACTCAACTCAAGGAACACATGGTTAAACTGAGAATTACCTGATAAGCTGGGCAGTATAACTGTGTGATCTGAGTTTTTTGGTGGAAAAGATTCACTGTCAAAATACACTTGGATCAAATTCTTTCGCCGTTATCTGAGAAGACTAGGAATCCTGTCTACTACCCTGTGGTGCTGAAGTGAGTGTAACACCTTTAAATTTAAAAGTTGTTTATTCTGAGATGAACCCTCTCCCCCTTTTTTTTGCGCCATAGCCAAATGCCACACCCCCGAGCCCATACCTGAAAGTCAGTCAACATTAAAAAAAAATGTGCTAAAATTAATTAGAATCTTTTCCTTTATGCCATTTTGAAGAACCAGTAATTTGAGAAATAGTTCCTGCAGACTGAATGTACCTGGTTTGGTGTTCAGCCAGTCATGTAGAAGGTCCCTTGTGAAATGTCACTCTAATGGTCTGCACAAGGAAACTCGGTCAGCACTCCTGCCTCCTGCACTTTCCTACCAGATATGCCACTTATCTCCTGTACCATCTTCCTGCTGGTTGACCCCTCCCTGCCTCACTTTCCTGATACCATGCTTTCTGCTATTGTTTTGCTTTTTTTCAATCTGCTGTGATGCTTGATATGGTCAGAATATTTTAGTTTCTGAGTCAAGATTTAGATCTTTTAGGATGTGCATAAGTTTCTTGCGATATAATAATATGGTAGTTTCCCCTTGCCTTCCACAAAGTTGGTGTTTGAATGTGTTTTGTATGTCCGTTGCTGTTACGTGCCCAGCATTGTATACATATTATGTTTATTACTCTGTGGTGGCTCTTGTAAGGATGAGATACTAGTTTTTGGGCTGCTATGGCCTCTATGATTTATAGGTGGGGGGGGGGGGGGGGGAAATCGTGTGCCCCTGAATCTATTGGATCATTTCGGGAGGGGGGAATTAAGTAATTAAATAAAAATTCCTAGCCCAAATAATATATGCCTCTTATATATTCAAGTTTATTATGGTGTAGTGTGAGAATTCTTGGCTTTTTATACAGGCAGTGCAACACATGTGCATAAACTGATTCACTTTTTGTCACTTGAGACCTGGCATCCTACAGGTGTATCCTGCTTACTTAGTAGCCTCTTATGGCATACTTAGCAGACTGGTGTTACCATTCTGTGCACCCCTAAAGGGTCCTGGCAACCTTTGGTTGCGCCCATTCTTAGTGATAGTTGCTTATCTTCTTCTTTCTTCTTCTTCGCGTTTATCAGCTGTAAACTCTGACGGAAGGTTCTGGTTTCTCGTCCACTACTGAACTGCAGTCCTGCTCCAGAAGCTGAGTGTTGCGTGTGCATCAGTTTTACAGATCTCATTCTCTTGAATACAGACTGTTGGTTTCTTGCCTCTCCGGCAGATGCACTCCGACTTCAAAGGAAGCTTCCCAATTAGTCGACGCTTACGACATGCTTTTGGGGAGGCAGTGGGTCTATTCTTGTTTTCCCCACAATGGGGCCCCGGAACCCACACGGGGGTTAGTTGCTTATGAGATGCGTTACAGATTCATGTTACATTCCTTGCATCCCTGAAGGGTCCTTGCAACCCATGAGCACAACCGTGCTTAGTAACGTTTTATGATTTGCTTGGCATACTTGGGTTACCATTCTTTGCACGCCCTCATTGTCTTGGCAACCTTTTGACACATCCTTCCTTAGACATCTTAGGACATGCTTGGCAGGCTAGCGTCTTTCCATTCTGTGCATCTCTGAAGGCTCATGGCAGCTGACAAGCTTGTTGGCACTTTAACATTCTCTTCAGACAATGCTGTTACTAAGACCATGTTGCTCATGATTCCTCTCTTAGCCTCTCTTGTGCACTGCAAAGGAAAGGTAACACCAGTATGTTTGCGAAAATCGTCTCAGCACTATGTACAGAAACCAACTAAAGCATAGACAGTGCTGTGTGTATTCAAGTTGCTTGAATTTTGAAGTGTTCAGTTCTGAGACCACACTGTATTTAGCATGCTGCACACAAGCTGTTTGATCAGAAGGGCAGTTCTACCCTCCTAGATCAGCTGCCAAGGCTAAAGGCCTAGTCCGCTCTACCATAATATAAAGTTTTAGGTTGCATTTCCTGATTATGGGACAATGTTGATATCCTCACCAGTAAGTTCATTTTCCCATCCTTACTTAGTCTCTTTGATAACATGTTTGGGGAAAGTAGTGCTTACCATTTGTTAATTCCTGTTATGGCCCTAATAACACATGTGTGGTTAGAGCACTCTCGATGAGAGAATATATTAGAAATATAGAGCCAATTCCCACCGTCCTTCAGGAGCCACCCAGAACTGATAGTGGTCCCCCATCCTTGTGGGCGATGTATCTTATGTGAATTAATCATTGGCAGCATTACTTAGTGTGATGCTTTTCTCTTTCAGCGGAGAATATAAAGGACATCAGTCAGTATGCATACAACCTTGCTACCGCCAGGTATACATTGGATGTTGTACTAATCTTGTTTTTACTAACACCTGTCACTCTTATTGTCCATTACTGCCTCTGGGGAAGATGCAACAGTGTCTTTTTGAAAGTCATGTCATGGGCGAGCTGGGAAGGGGCTTTCTGTTTTGGCTGTGTCTATATGAAAGCTTTGCATAAAGGGAGTGCTCCTTGATTTTTGAAGACGAAGACAAAAGTTTTGTTGTTGTGGAAAGTCATATCGTTAAGAGGAGCACCATGTTTTGACTGTCTTTATGAAACCTTTGCATGATTTTTAAAGGCCGCGATAAAGATGGAGCAATAAAAAAAATTGGTGGTGGGGGGGGGGGGGGTGTGTTATGCACTGGGCAGGCCATTGGGGAACATCACTTTTTGAGAGTCATCTCATAGATGGAGCCACAAGAGGAGCATTGTGTTCTGGCTTGTCTTTATAATAAAAAAAAACTTTGAACCTTAAAGAAAGCGCATTTGTTACTACTAGTGTTTAAGAGGTGGCATCTTTACAAAAAAACAACGATTTAAGACATTTCAATACGAAAGCTGAGAACTAGACTGTCATATGTTGGCTCTGTCTTTGCGAGAGCTTCTGGGCACAGTGATGGATATTTGATTGTTTTTCTGGCATATCAGTTCTTGGGACTTGAAATTCTTCAACCATATTGCATGCTTCAGTTTCCTTTATGGGTTCGGAGAGGGGGCCTTGGGGCATGATACTCAGTGCCCCCGTTAACAAGAACATTTTAACAATCTCTCAATTATGGGCGTTGACTTTGAAGTCATTCCATTTGCTGGTATCTACAAACAGAAGCCACATCTGTAAAACGAATGTGAACACAAAATTTCTAGAACAAGACTAAAGTCTAAAAGAGGACAAACAACTAAAAAATGAAGCTTGCAAATGGTGAGCGTGAAGAAGAAGAAGAAATACTGCACTGGCTTGGAGAGCAGTAATGGAAGATGGTTCTTGGAAAAGCAAGCACGGATGCCCAGCATGAAGGGGCACACAGACGTCGTTAGTATTGAAATATGCGAGACAGGAAAATTCACCAGAAGCCAAAAGGCTTTCTGGCAAGTTATAGTCCAGCACCATTCTGCAAACGATCCGCTACATTTTAATATGACTAAAACACATTGAAGGCAGTGTTTAATATTTTAAAAAGGAATGATTGACTTACAAAATGACATATTTCAAGACATTCACATACATCCCAGCCTCCTGTTTTCTGCGGCCAAGAAAATTTGTCTGTTGGCCCCCCCCCCCCCACACACACACACACATTAAGACACTGGGGCTGTTTCTGCTGTAGTATCCATTTGATCCCACAGAGCCTTTGTTCATATCATTAAGTAGCTCTCTGGCTAGAGAAGCAGCCAGTCAGTCAGCATGCTTATTGTCCTGCCCACCCACATTTCTTTGGGCCTGGGTGTGAATATCTGTCTGTCTGCCTTCTTTATAAAGATCTCATGGCTGGAAACTCCAGAACTAAAGCTTGAGTGTTTTTTGTCTCAGTTTTAATGTTCACTAGTTCTTTGTCTCAAAGAAGGTAATTTAACTGTTTCCCTTTTCCTTTATTTCCCTAGTGAAGCTTAAGGCCTTTTATCTTATTCACATCAGGTTTTCTTCTCCTTTGCTAACATTCGCTCAGTATCCCTCCTATCTTTTTCACTGCATTCTTTGAAAAGATAGAATAATCTAACTTTATTCCTTTGACGCTGTGGGTTCCGTGTGTAAGGACATTCTAGTTTACATTTTTTCAAGCTTTCTCAATATATGTCCGATTCAGCACCTGCAGTTTCCTCACCTCTCAATCCACCAAAGTTTGTCTCCAAAAGCTCCATATAAGCGATTCTATCATCCTGTTCTGTGCAATCACCAGGAATGTTTGAAGCTTATTACTAAACATTCTAGTTGTTCTTTGTGTTTCAGCCTTGAACAATCTTGTTACTACGGTAAAACATTGGTTAATACACATTTCAACAGTTTGTGTATGCTAACTGGGGACTCAGAAATCTATTTTCAGTCCCAAGGAATGCATTGATAGGTTCCGACCTAGAAGGCCAAATGACGTACAATGTACCGATGTTATGTTTGTTTTCTACCCCATGCGCATCTATTGGTGCACCCCCCGGGTACTGAAAAGTGTTTATACATTGCTGCTTAAAGCAATATTTTATTTGTGTTAACCGATCGTTCTCCTAAGTGAGTGTGTTAACAGGGTTTTACTGTATTTGATTCTGTTTGTAAACTTTTAAATGATTGTACTACCGTTACTCGATCGCCTCACGCAACTTTAATTCAACCGCTGTTTGTTTGCTCTTCTGCAGTTCTCAGCTGACGATGCTGTGCCTGAAGTACCCGCCGGAGACCATTGCCACCATGTGCCTCAACATCGCCTCCAAAGCTCACTCAGTAAGAGTAGGTTTGCTGCTTGTCACCCTTCGCTGTTAGTTACAGTTAGCAGCAGACTTGTATGTCTTCTTTCATTCTTTGTCTCAAAGTTTCATTGTTCATTGAAACTCTTGCCTGTTTTAATTATTATTTGTCTCATAGTTTTGTTGTTCGTTAGTTGCTTGTCTCATCGTTTTGTTGTTTGTTAGTTGCTTGTCTCATCGTTTTGTTGTTCTTTAGTTGCTTGTCTCGTCGTTTTGTTGTTCTTTAGTTCCTTGTCTCATAGTTTTGTTGTTCGTTAGTTGCTTGTCTCATCGTTTTGTTGTTTGTTAGTTGCTTGTCTCATAGTTTTGTTGTTCTTTAGTTGCTTATCTCGTTTTGTTGTTCGTTAGTTGGTAGTCTCATCGTTTTGTTGTTATTTAGTTGCTTGTCTCATAGTTTTGTTGTTCTTTAGTTGCTTGTCTCGTCGTTTTGTTGTTCTTTAGTTCCTTGTCTCATAGTTTTGTTGTTCTTTAGTTCCTTGTCTCATAGTTTTGTTGTTCTTTAGTTCCTTGTCTCATAGTTTTGTTGTTCTTTAGTTCCTTGTCTCATAGTTTTGTTGTTCGTTAGTCACTTATCTCGTTTTGTTGTTCGTTAGTTGGTAGTCTCATTGTTTTGTTGTTCGTTAGTTGCTTGTCTCGTTTTGTTGTTTGTTAGTTGCTTGTCTCATCGTTTTGTTGTTCGTTAGTTGCTCGTCTCATCGTTTTGTTGTTTGTTAGTTGCTTGTCTCATAGTTTCATTGTTCATTGGTTCTCTTGTCTCATCGTTTTGTTGTTCTTTAGTTGCTTGTCTCGTCGTTTTGTTGTTCTTTAGTTCCTTGTCTCATAGTTTTGTTGTTCGTTAGTTGGTAGTCTCGTTTTGTTGTTTGTTATTTGCTTGTCTCATAGTTTTGTTGTTCGTTAGTTGCTCGTCTCATGGTTTTGTTGTTTGTTAGTTGCTTGTCTCATAGTTTTGTTGTTCGTTAGTTGCTCGTCTCATCGTTTTGTTGTTTGTTAGTTGCTTGTCTCATAGTTTCATTGTTCATTGGTTCTCTTGTCTCATAGTTTTGTTGTTCGTTAGTTGCTTGTCTCGTTTCATTGTTCAATGGTTCTCTTGTCTTATAGGTTTGTTGTTTGTTAGTTGCTTGTTTCATAGTTTTGTTGTTTGTTAGTTGCTTGTCTCATAGTTTTGTTGTTCGTTAGTTCCTTGTCTCATAGTTTCATTGTTCATTGATTATCTTGTTTAATTTTCAATGATCATTAGTTCCTTGTCTCATTTTTGTGTGGGTGTTTGTGTGTGTTCATTGTTCATTAGTTCTTCACTATTTAATTAGCTACGAATAGCAGTAAAAACTTGTATTTTTCACTGTTCATTAGTTTTTTTATCTTATATTTTCATTGATATCATTTCCTTATGTTAGATTAATTACTCATTTGTTCTTAAATATTGAGTAGCTGACACATTTTATTATTATCTGATCGGAATTTGTAAAAGTTTACTTGATGATGCCTTTTAGAAGTTAAAATATCTGTAACTATGTTAAAGCCAGTTGTTGTTATTGTAATGCAATGGTTGCTGGGGGCCAGAAGAGTTAAAAGTAAGAACTGCCTGGGGAGGAAGGACTAAACAATAACCATCCTCCCCCTAAATATTTAACTGTCTGTCTGGTGAGGGGGGGGGGGGGGGGGTTGGGTGGGATAGAGCCAAGAATTAGAAAGTAAGGATTATTCTGTTCTATAATAATGGACTGCTATTTTATGCGCATTTCCAACGCAGGATATTATGTGTTTTTCGTGGGAACAGCGTGTATTGTGGTTGTGCTGTGTCGGGGCGGGATAATGACCGATAGTTTTGGCAGCCTCGACCACGCTGCCTTCGCAATGTTTTGATCGCGGCGGTCCACTCGGGAAGACAGAATCTCGTCAGCAGGGGACTGCAACTGTCTAGAGAGCAAACTCGATAAAAGCTGTCCCCAGAAACGGAATGTGTCAACCATATATTTGGTGGGGAGGAATCGACACATACGGTTAACTCAATGGCCATGCGCAAATATTTATCCAATAGTGGTACCACCACGTTGGGTAACAATCAAGTGAAAGCGGGACTCGCTCTCACATCTCAAATAGGTTTACCCTTAGCCACCAAACAGCCCCGCGGCTTCCTGCATTGCTAGGGAGGGACAGGGTGTCCACTTCTAACTGCGAGGACACACTTCCACCACTTGTAATCATGCAGTGGAACGCCGAAGGCGTATTTAACAAAAGAGAGAGAACTAGAGGAACGCCTGCGAGCAGAAAAAATCGACGTTATCTGCATTCAAGAGACGCACCTCAACCCAAGTAAAAGATTTCATATTAGAGGATATGAAAATATTTCGCCAAGACAGAGAAAATAGACATAAAGGTGGGGTTGCCACGCTGGTTCGTAATTCAATACCAGCGGTTGAACTACATAGATCCAACCAGCTGAATACTGAATTCATTGCTGTCCAGCTGCAACTAAAAAATAAAAATATGTCAGTCTACAACATTTACTCACCACCTACCCTCCCCCACCGAACTTGAAGATATACAGGTTCAAGAGAGCAACTTGCTAATTATCGGAGATTTGAACAGTCACTCACCCAGCTGGGGTTATGACTGTTTAGATGCTCGTGGAGAAAATCTTGAGGAGTGGCTAATCACAAACTGTCTCACCCTTCTCAATCACCCTGATGACCCGCATACGCACTACTCTAGACGGTGGCGCACAACAAGCACACCTGATCTAGCATTTGCAACAGACGACATCCATAAGATATCTGTTAGGCAGGTGTGCGACCAGTTAGGAGGCAGTGACCACAGGCCAGTGAAGATTCTGATAAACAGCCTTAAAATAGAAAAATCTCCAGATACTGCACCAAGCTGGAACTACAAAAAGGCAGATTGGAAACTTTTTCAAGAACTTGCAGACTCAAACTGCAAAGCAATCAGCCTTTCAGGTAAGGTTGACAGAGATGCACAAGAATTCAACAAGGCCATACTGAATGCAGCAAAAAAAACCATTCCTAGAGGAAAGAGGCACAATTACAAGCCATATTGGTCACCAGAACTGGAAGTGCTTCACGGTTCGCTCTGTGATGCTAGAGATAGCATGGAAGCTGATCCAACAGACGAACATGTGAAGCAACACAACAAAGCAAGGGCTCTCTATGTCAGAGAAAGAAACCTACAGTGTAGAAAGTCCTGGAAAGAAAAGACTGCTTCTCTGAACATGGAAAAAGACACCACAAAATTGTGGAGACTGACCAAGGCACTTAATGATGACAACCCATCTCATGGAAAAACAGTTCTCCAACAAGAAGGAAATCTACTCACAGGGAAGGAAGCAGCGACTCTGATGGCCCGAAACTACGAGAAAGAAAGCTCATATTCAGTAACCCTGGAGCAAAAGAAAGCAGTCCGAGATGGGATAAACTCCATATTCAAAAAAGCCTCTTGTGAGCCATGCATGGAGACAGACATCACTCTAACTGAGCTACTAAGAGCAATGAGAAAACTCAAGTCAAAGAAGGCACCTGGCCCAGACGAAGTTTCAAACGACATGCTCAAACATATGGGTCCAGTAGCACAAAACATCTTACTCCAGATATACAACTATAGCTGGAAACTAGGCAGAGTCCCAGATATCTGGAAAAATGCTATAATCCACCCTATCCTCAAAAGTGGCAAGGACAAGAAGGACCCTCAGAGCTACAGGCCTGTCAGTCTGCTAAGCTGCCCCGCAAAACTGATGGAGAGAGTGCTAGCCACCAGACTTCAGTGGTTCCTAGAAACCAATCACAAACTGGATTCGGCTCAGACAGGCTACCGACAGCACAGAAGCACTGATGACCAGGTAGCATACCTCACACAGGACATAGAAAATGGCTTCCAGGAAAAGAAGAAAACCCTCACAGTCTTTTTTGATATGTCCAAGGCCTTTGACAAAGTATGGAAGGATGGCTTGATGCTAAAGCTCTTACATAGTGGAATAAGAGGCAGAATGTACTACTGGATACAAGACTTCCTATCACACAGGCGGGCATCTGTGAAACTAGATGAAGCACATAGTCCCAGATTCAAGCTGAGAGCAGGAGTACCACAGGGTAGTGTACTGTCTCCAGTCCTGTTCCTGATTTACATCAACGACCTACCTCAAACTTTACCCAGACATGTATCACATTCTCTTCATGCAGATGACCTAGCTGTGTGGTACACCTCTGAGTTCATTGGACCTGCTATATCAAAACTCCAGGAAAGTGTGAATAGTGTCATAAACTGGGCCAACAAATGGGGCCTCGAAGTAAACAGGAACAAAACTGTAGCAACACTCTTCTCATTGTCTACAAAGGAGGAAAAGTTTACATTAAAATTCAACAATGATGCTGTTCCACGCTCCAATACTCCAACCTTCCTGGGAGTCAAGCTTGACAGTCGTCTGACATGGAAACATCACATACTAGAAACTAACAAAAAAGCCATGAGAAAACAAGGTGTGATGAAGAAATTGGCAGGCACCACTTGGGGAGCAGACAGTTGTATCTTGAAGCAGGTATACACCGGCACAGTCAGACCAACTCTCGAATACGCATCATCGTCATGGATAACAGCAGCCCATTCCAATAAACAGATACTAGACAAAACGCAAAATAGAAGTCTGCGTACAATTCTGGGAGCCATAAAATCTACACCTATTGTAGAAATGGAAAAGGCAGCCAACATCATCCCCTTAGAAGAAAGAAGAAGGACAAAAGCAATTCTACATGCTGAAAAAATGAAGAGAATGTTAAACCACCCATTACACGAAAAATTGGCAGCCAGGACAAAAAACAGAATAAAGCGCAAAAGCCTAAACCATCTAACGAAGGAATTTGGAAAGTCATTCTCTTCACTACTTAACCAACAATGTACACCTGAAGAGCTATCTTTCGATCTCTGGGACTTCAAATTATTGACACTCAATGTGTCAACATCCATCCCGAACCTGGGAAACAAAGATGCTGAGCCCGCTTTAGTGAAGAAAGCACTCACAATAGAACACCTCAACAACATGTTCCCACAGGACAGCTGGACAAGAATCTACACGGATGGATCAGCAAAAGAAGCAACTACGAATGGTGGGGCAGGTGTCTACATAAAACACCCAGATGCCACTACTGTGTCCCTAGCAGCCCCCACCGGACGTACTTGCTCTAACTACAAGGCAGAACTCTCAGCTCTATTGATGGCAGCACAGTATATGAACAATCTGCAAATCACCGCAGGCAGGATAGTTTTTCTCACTGACTCACTGTCAGCTATACAGGCCCTTGAGTCCAAACCTACCGACAGCACACTACAAAGTATAACACAGGAACTTGCTATGTTGTCAAATAAGGCAGAAATTCACTTGCAGTGGATTCCGTCTCACTGTGGCATCAAAGGCAATGAAAGCGCAGATGCTTTAGCCAAGGAAGGCAGTAACAAAACTACAGACCTACCAGCCACTATCTTTTCCAGAAGTCAAAACTCTCATTAAGAGAAAATCAGAAACAGACTGGAAAAACAACACTGGTTATGACTACGGAAAAGATTTTCTGAGGCACTTGAACAGAACAGACCAAGTCACAGTTTTTCGCTTACGCACTGGACACTGCAGACTCAATAAACACTCATATAAATTAGGTATGAGCCAAACAGCTCTCTGCCAGTGTCTTCGTGCTGAACAGACTCCAGAACATGTCCTGCAAGACTGTCCTCTCCTGGCGGAGCTGCGGAGCGACATATGGCAACACCCAGTAGAACTGACAACTAAGCTTTGGGGAAACCTAAGAGACCTTGAAAAGACATCCCAGTTTATGACCCACAGTGGATTATGCGCATGACCAGAGATCGCTGAAGAAGAAGAAGAAGAAAGTAAGAATTGGTTGGTGACCACAAAATTAAAATAGAAGTTAAGAATTGGTTGATGAGGAGAGAATTTGAAGGTAGAATGGACTGGTGTTGAAAGAGTAAAAGAATCTGCTGTGAAGTGTTCCGCAATTTGCAGGAAGGAAGTGTTGGCAGTTCCTGTTATGATGATAGTCAGTCAGTACTTCAACATTCTGAGTTTTATAATGCCCCCTTTTTTTAATTGAATTTTTTTCTCTCTTTTTTTTTAAATCCTTCAGTCTGATTATTCACACTTGTTTTTGTTTCTTTTCTTGAAAATCAGTTTGAGCCCATGAAGGACTCACATGTCAAGTGGTACCAAGTACTGGTTCCCAACACGGACTTTGCTGAAATTGAAGGTCAGTCAGCAAAATACATATATGTTTCTTTTATCGTTGTCTTTGTTATCGTCATTATTTTTTAAAAACAAGTGGGTTTAAAGGTGAAGATACTGTGGGGAGGGAGGGGGGGGGGGGGTGAGAAGACTGATATACTTAATTCTCTACGAGAAGTAAGATGTTTGCAAGAACCAACTGATGAATGAATCTGCAAGCATGAAATAGCATGTTAAAGATGGGTGTGGCAAGATGAGCATTGTGCAGGACACCAAAGAAGAATAAGAAGCCATCCCAAACTGGTGTTGTTTGCCTGCTACACGCTGGGGGGTTTACTAAGAAGGGGATCCAAGCGCTGTGAACTTCATGGTATGATTTTTAATGAGAATAATCTGTTGGGAATAACTAACTGGACTGAGCTACTGTAAAACAGTAGCTGGTACCACCTGTTTTCTGTTACGCCGAATGTTGGGCGGTGTATACTAACCCAACATCCCATATTGTGCAAACGGCTGCGGGCGGAGGAGCTCATTGGGGAGGATACTAGCCTTATCCTAGGAACTCGAAAACTTTATTATGGCAGGGCAGACCAGGTTCTTCGCCTTGGCTGGCAGCTGGTCTAGGAGGGAAGCTCCGACAGGCGGACAGAGCACTGCTCTTCTGATCCGGCAGCTTTTGCACTCTGCCTTGTTCCAAACGCACTGGTTTTACCTTTCCTTTCGAGTAAACAAGGCAGGTCGAGGGAGGGACTATTATGCATGGTCAACATATGGTCTCCACATTACTGTCCCGGCTTTGTGGTGGACTCATGGGAACAAAATGCCATGGGCCGTGTTGTGTGGAAAGGGCATATCAGGAAGGGAATGAAAGTGGAGGAAGAAATGACAGCAAAAAGGATGAGAGCTGAAAGTCAGAAAATAAACGGATAAAACACAAATGTTGACAACAATAGTCCTGAAATCCCATGCTATCATTGTGGAAGACTTTTCTTAACATGGGCGGGTCTTGTTAGTCACACTCGCCATTGAGTCTCATGCCTTCTCATAGCGCAATATAACACTATCATTTGGAAAGACGGAAAGGTGCCTATCAATCAAACTAGTTTTCAGCTAACTGGCGTACCTGCACTTCAGGCATGTCTGTAGAAGCTCATTAATTATTTGTTGAAATTGTATGTTGGAATAAAAAAAGTACAGATATCACAGCCTTGCTGTAAACCACAAAATAATGTGCCAACTGTCTCTTTCAAGACCCAACACAAAAGTCTCAGTGTCTGGTCGAGATGGATATGAGAATTCAGATTTTCTCTCCGCTCTTTTGAACATTTCACATGGGACAGCGATTTACATTTTGTGTGGTTGTTCGTGCACTTTTAGACTTATCTGTGAATTGAGTTTTGTATGCACCTATGTTTTACATATCTGGCTTATTTTGTATGCAGACTGTTGGTTTGTTGCTTTTTGGGCATATCCACTACAACTTGATTGACAGGAGACACCCCTAATTAGTTTTCAACAGGAATCACAACATACTTGTTAGGGGACCGCCACCACCCCCAACCTCATAGGGAAAAAAGGGTAATCTAAAAAAAAAATTTTTTTTAGATCCTCTGTCCTTCAGCTTCTCATACAAAATAATAATGTTAGAAAAAATTTGTTGAACCTTTTGTTGATAACTCAAATCTGATCGTTTATTTTTACAGCTGTTTCTGAAGAGTTTCTGCACTTGATCAAAGGCTGTCCTCTTCTGCCATCTTGGATGACAAACCTGGCCAGGGTAAGTGGTATTATTCATTTCTCTCTGGTGGAAAATTCTGGTTGTTCATCCACTTCTAGATTTTGGTCTTGTTCCAGAACTTGTGTTGTCACCCACTGTACTTGTCTGTAAACAGCCTGTAGGTTGGTTGGTTGTCTCTATCTGGGATATCTGCCACAACTTCATCTATCTGGGATATCTGCCACAACTTCATCTATCTGGGATATCTGCCACAACTTCATCTATCTGGGATATCTGCCACAACTTCATCTATCTGGGATATCTGCCACAACTTCATCTATCTGGGATATCTGCCACAACTTCATCTATCTGGGATATCTGCCACAACTTCATCTATCTGGGATATCTGCCACAACTTCATCTATCTGGGATATCTGCCACAACTTCATCTATCTGGGATATCTGCCACAACTACATCTATCTGGGATATCTGCCACAACTTCATCTATCTGGGATATCTGCCACAACTTCATCTATCTGGGATATCTGCCACAACTTCATCTATCTGGGATATCTGCCACAACTTCGAAAGACATTTAGTCATTTGATTGTAGTATTTTAGGAGCTCATGCAAGCTATCTGCTTGCTTCCCAGTCTAAAGGTCTTTGGTTCAAATCTGTATTAAGGCTGTTAAAAGCTGACCTTAGTTAGTGTCCAAGGAGACCCAGCTTAACATGGATGCCAGGAGATGTCCTGGACTAGTATGATGTTGATGATGTCACCCATTGGATGTCAGGAGGATATATCCCTGGACTAGTATGATGTTGATGATGTCACCCATTGGATGCCAGGAGATGTCCTGGACTAGTATGATGTTGATGATGTCACCCATTGGATGTCAGGAGATGTCCTGGACTAGTATGATGTTGATGATGTCACCCATTGGATGTCAGGAGATGTCCTGGACTAGTATGGGATATCTGCCACAACTTCATCTATCTGGGATGTTGATGATGTCACCCATTGGATGTCAGGAGATGTCCTGGACTAGTATGATGTTGATGATGTCACCCATTGGATGTCAGGAGATGTCCTGGACTAGTATGATGTTGATGATGTCGCCCATTGGATGCCAGGAGATGTCCTGGACTAGTATGGTGTTGATGATGTCACCCATTGGATGCCAGGAGATGTCCTGGACTAGTATGATGTTGACGATGTCACCCATTGGATGCCAGGAGGAGATGTCCTGGACTAGTATGATGTTGATGATGTCACCCATTGGATGTCAGGAGGTGTCCTGGACTAGTATGGTGTTGATGATGTCACCCATTGGATGTCAGGAGATGTCCTGGACTAGTATGATGTTGATGATGTCACCCATTGGATGCCAGGAGATGTCCTGGACTAGTATGATGTTGATAATGTCACCCATTGGATGTCAGGAGGATATGTCCTGGACTAGTATGATGTTGATGATGTCACCATTGGATGTCAGGAGGATATGTCCTGGACTAGTATGATGATGATGATGTCACCCATTGGATGTCAGATGTCCTGGACTAGTATGATGTTGATGATGTCACCCATTGGATGTCAGGAGATGTCCTGGACTAGTATGATGTTGATGATGTCACCCATTGGATGCCAGGAGATGTCCTGGACTAGTATGATGTTGATGATGTCACCCATTGGATGTCAGGAGATGTCCTGGACTAATATGATGTTGATGATGTCACCCATTGGATGTCAGGATGTGTCCTGGACTAGTATGATGTTGATGATGTCACCTATTGGATGGCAGATGTCCTGGACTAGTATGATGTTGATGATGTCACCCATTGGATGTCAGGAGATGTCCTGGACTAGTATGATGTTGATGATGTCACCCATTGGATGCCAGTCGGCATATATAAAATATGGTCCTATTAGGAGCTTAGCCAACTAGTTTCTATAATTTTCACTCCTTCACTGATCAAAAAACGGACACCAGAACGCTGATCCTCTTTGATGCATGTCAAAGGTGGCATCTTGAAATGGTCATTATGACGTCGCTGTGTACACTTGCTCTGTGATGTCATGTGCTTAACGCTCTTGACTTCCTTAACACCTTATTCACAGGTGGTGGTCTAGCTTATTGTATGTCATCTATTGGTTCCCGCCCCTCAGGCAGATGTGCTGGGACTTAAACTCTTTCATTTCCAAATGTGTGATTCATCCGTGTTACATGTTCTGATCCCTTTTCACGATTGGTCACAACATACAGAGAAATCTGGCTTACCTAGTATTTAGCATCTTTGAAAGCACTTCACTGATGGTTTTTATTAGTCATACATATGGTCATCCTTAGAAAAACTGTCTGGTACTCAATGGGTTATATGCATTTAGGACCAATGTTACTTCTGATGTTAAATTAAAAGACAGAAGAAAAGGCCGTTTAAATTATGTTTTTGTAGGTTAAATGAAACATACTAAGAAGGCAAATGATTTGTGTTGCAGATGTCGCGAGTGAACAACAACAACCGAGCCATGCCACTGCCATCACGGGGTCCCGGGGTATCGTCTGTATCTGCCCCCTCTGGGGGTCGACAGAACCCCCCAGGAATCTCATCTACTGCAGGATCTATGGCATCCGGAAATGTGCCTACAACAGCGTCCACTGCCTCTTTACCACAGAATTATCCCAGCAGACCTCAGGCGACGGCAACATCTCTGACGTCGGCGCAGGTCACAGACTCTCGGCAGTTATCGAGTCGAGCCGCAGCGTCACAGCTTCAGAACGAGGCTGTTATCAGTCCTGGTAGCAGACATATTTCTGCTGAAACTGGAGCAAGTGGTTTAGTGCCTGGAGCTTCAGACGCCCACGTAAAAGACTCTGTACCTTCATCTCATTCCAGACAACATCCGTCAAGCTGCGGTGCTCAAATGCGGCCCCATCATCCATCTGCAGCACTTCCTTCTGGGGCTGTACCTCATCAGCAGCATCGAGCACACCCCCCTGGCAACGGCCGGCCAGCGAACCAAACTGTTGCCCCAGTTGGAGGAAGCAGCAGCAGACCTCCGACAAAACCTTCAATGCCTGTGAATCCTCAGGTAGTTCGACCACCACAGCATCCTGGACAGCCAGGGCACCATCCAACGTCCCACCAGTCATCTCGTCCAGCACCTGATCAGGTTCGACATCAGGACGCAGGTCATACCCGGGACCAGTCGCGCCCCCCTTTTCCTGATGTTTTAAAAGGCCAGCGAGACCATGCTCGCTCTCGTGACAGTTCTCGACCACACGACTCTCTGAGATTACATGACACAGCTCGGCACGGACACCCAGATCAGCGACCAGATGTGGGTGGCGATGCCAGACATATACCGCACTCAGACTCTAGCCTAAACAGATCCCAGTCTTCGAGACCCGAACACATATCCCAGCGCCACTCAACGGTGTCCCCAAACACTCCACCAACAAACACCCCGACAGCGGTATCATTAAGTCCACCAGAACCGCCCTCAGACATTTCTCAGATTCTGTCGTCTTCAGGAGAAACTCAGGATATTAGCATCAACGTGACCTCAGATTCACCAGAAAACCAGTTGAAGCTACAATCAAATCCTGACAAGCAACAGTCTGCAGCCAGCCACGGGCCCAAACTCTCCTTGAGAATGTACAGAGAACGGACCGTGGCAAAGTCCAAAACCTCGGTTGATCAGACCACACCCGGAGACATAGCCAGTGCGGTGGCCAGCATTACTGATGATAGTTACACATTAGGGGTGAACCCTGAATCTGCGACAAACTCCCCGGGCGATGTCAGCCTCAGATTGGGCTCTGGCGAGTTGGCTAATTTCCACAAGCCACAAGACAGCCCGAGCAACCCTCGGATCAAAATCAAAGTTAAGCGTGACCCTTCGTCAGGAGAGCGTCATGCTGTGAAGTATGCCGAGACTGGACTGAAAATCAAGATTAAACCTATAAGGTCCGACACACCTAGTGGGGCCGAAAGCGGAGATGCAGGTCCAAGTGGGGTAGGCATGGCATCAAGCGCCAGCACGCCCCGAGAGGAAGGTGAAATCGTCGAGGACACCCCACCATCATCCGGTGACTCAGAGCAGAAATCGGAGCGTCTCAGGATCAGGTTATCGGTTCCGAAATCAGATCAGAGTTTGGGCTTCAACAGGCGGGAGAGCGACCAGGGTTCTAACGGTCACAGCGGCGAGCACGATCAGGGCCACCGCTCCCACCACCACAGCCATCACCGCAGCCACCACCACAGCAAAAGTAAAAAGCACTCCAAGCACGACCGATCTCGGCACGAAGTCCGCTCTGTCAGCAAGCGCTCAGCATCGGCCCTGGATTACCACGACGAGCGACCCTCAAAGACCTCCAGACCTGACACACACTTCGCAGCGACCGGCCATGTTTCCCACCACACGGGCTACTCTGACCGCTCACATCAGCAGAACACAGGCTTCAGCATCCATGACGCCTTTTCCACAACCATGCCCCACAACATATTCGATGATGACGATGACCCTACTCACACCCACCCCCCGGTTACACCCACAGTTGAAACCGTGCCTCCACATCATGAAAGGTTCCATCAGCTCATGGCTCAGCACCGGGCTAAAGTGGATGCAGTCAAAAAACCGCCACTGCCCAGAGGACCACCGCCGCCACGGTCATCACCTCCACCACCCCCACCCTCGCCCCCAATAATGTAATTCGGACAAATAACAAGACAGAAAGAACAGAGGGGTGTGCTCACAGAATTTACTAGTGCTGTTATTTTTATGGACATTGAGAACAAAAGGCATTGGGAAGCTGTCAGACAGCGTTGTGAGGGCGTGATAACACTGGAAGCAATAATAATGGCGGAGAATTGTGGGACGTAAAAAGAGCAGTGTAGATATACAGGCTCTTGTGAATCATGGCGGGGTGTAGTTGTGTTTGTAGATGCTGATAATTATAACACAGAATGAACAGCTTGGAGAAAGATGCCAGTAGTTGTGAAATAGAAAGAACATAGAAATATTTTTGATTTTGTCGGCGCCGATAGTTACAAGACTTGAAAGGAATAACGTGACTATACTTGCTTCTCCAGAAAGTAAAGTTTTCAACGATATTGTTGTGTTAATAATAGCTGATAGTTGCAACACAGATGTATACAGGTGTCCACAGAAAGTGAAGTTCCCAGTTCCTGCTGGTATTTTTTTGTGTAAGCTTGATTTCATTTGCCTCCTGCCTGCAGTCTAGGGAAAACTTGTAGTTGACTTTACAGATTCAGATTTCATGTGGATATATCCCCGTATCAAGACACTGATCCCAAGCTCAAGATTGTCTTGAATCCTAGTCGTAAACAGCTTCCTTAAGTGTGTGCTTAATTTTAGTGGCATTTTGACTATTTAGAAATATTGGGAATTTATTGCAGAGGCAGCAGCAGCAGAGTTTCAAGTTTTGATTAAATTTGTTTGATGAGCCAGGTTGTCTGACTAGCTTGCTTTGTGGTCTGAGGTGTTGGATCAGAACAGATTGTGATTTTGTAAAAATTTGCAAAAATCAAAATTAGATCTGTATTGATATAGGGACACTGCTTTTTCTTAGCATTTGCAGGCTGTGAACTATGGCAGAGAAGATTTGATTGTTCATCCGCTTTTGGACTTTAGCCTTATTCCAGAATTTTGAGTTTTACATGCACATCTGTTTTGAAGATCTGGCTTATTTGTAGGCAGACTGTTGGTTCCTCGTCTCTCAGACATATGCACTCCGACTTTGAAGGAGACTCCCCTAATTACCACTGGCCTCCTACAACATGCATGTTAGGCAAGAAGTGTGTCTATTCTTTATTCTTCAAAACGGAGCGCCAGAACAACACGGGGATACCATGGCAAAGTGGTCAAGCCGTTTGCCTCGTGCTCTGAAGGTTGTGGGTTCGTTTCATGGCTGCGTCGTTCACTTCAAAAGTGCAGTTTTTACGGAGATCCCAGGGATCGAACTACGGAGTTCGTGCTCCGTGTAAAGCTTTCCACAGGTCGCTACTAGCCGCTCTGCTGAGCCATATAGGATACAACTTAGTGCAATGAAGTCGGTCCCCCTGATGCTTGCAGTTCTTAATCATAAGCGAACTTACACCCGACACAACTTCCTCCACCCACAACCCTTACTGTTTCTTCTCTCTACCCTTGGCTTTTTACCTCTTGTTTCTCTCAAGTTGTGCAATACCTTTATTGTCCCCATGTTGTTTCCGGCGCTCCATTGTGGAGAAAATAAAGAATAGACCCACTGCCTCTGAACAAGCACGTTGTTGGAGTCCAAACTAATTAGGGGCTTCCTTCTCACTCGGGGTGCATCTGCTGAAGACACAAGGAACAGAGAGTCTGCATGCAGATAAGCCAGCTCTGTAAAATGAATGTGCACACAGCGCTCAGTTTCTCGAATAAGGTTAAAATTCTTGAATGTGCTTCGTAATTCTGAGGTGCCCGTTTCAATTTCAGCTGTAGATGATTTGGCAGCAAACTGCCTTGCATTGATTTTCAATAGGGCTACAGAGAGGCGATTAGTTACAAAGCAGTGACAAACTACCAGAGGTAAAATGGTCTAGTGAAATCAAAGCAGCCAACAGTCGTGGCAGCGTCCTGTAAAGGAGACACAACTGTCTTTAGTGCAGTGTTCTCTGTGGTTTGAGAAGATTGCTGTGTTCAAAGGGGTTAGTAATTTGTGGAATGTTTTCACTCATCTGATGAATGCTGTGATCCTGTCAAGTTCTGTAAATAATGATAAACCTCTTGGTCCCAGAGTAGGCAATATCTACAGGAGGTCCAGGCTACAATCCTAAAATGAAGAATACCTGGGTAAAAAAGCTTGCACGGTTAGAACAGGTTTCTTCAGCCAGCGACCCGCAGACAGACAGAGGCCTAGCAGACGAGCCACCGGTCATTGCCAGTTGCCTCTTGTCTGTGATGATCCCCATTGTCAGCAGTTTGGCCCCAGAGTTAGCCCTGGTTTAGAATCTCGGATCACATCTGCTGCGATTAACAACCACTGGAAATATATCTTGCGAATTGGTATGGCTTACAAATAAACTTTGTTGCAGAAGGTTCATCTTGTGCATAGATGTAACAGTTGGTAATGATGTACAGTGAACAGCCAGTAGAATAACTTGGTTGAAATGTATATAATTCATAAGCAGTTGAGCAGAAGTATAGGAAGTGAGAAGCATATGGTTTTGATAAAGAATGTGCAAAGAATATTTGCCGCATTTGATCCACATGTGCAAAGGGGAGAATGTGTAGTACACTGGCAATGATATTGAAATCTAGGGGAATGATCCCTCTCTCAGGTCTGTCCGTGTACACACTGCTGTCCCTAAATGTTACTTTTTCATAAGGTTGAATGGGATTCTGGTATCTTGACCTGTTGGCTTGGCATCTGAAATTTGACTCATCCAGTCAGTGTGGTGTCAGGTAGCAGACTTATACATTAAAAAAAAAAAAGTTAATCAGGGGGAAAAAGACATTCCATGAATACATTTTGTCCTTGACTGTTGGGCCTAGCAATGCCCCCATGGGATCCACCAAGTGATAACTTACTGAGGTCCACTGAGAGATACCTCCCTGGGATCCACTGATATCTTCCCGGGATTCCTTCACGCATATTTATTCTGAATTTATCTCGTGGTTTCATAACTACCCTCGTCAATTTGCGGGAACCAGGCGATGGCTGTTTTAAATTTGGTCTAATGTTTGATAAAAAGTTTAAAAAAAAATTTGTTTGCAGAACTTAAGAGAACGTTTAGGTCTTCTTTGCCGAATTGAACTACATTTCTTTTTCTTTTTTTAATGGTGCAGTAGATGCCAATCTTGTGTCTGTATATAGCCCAGTCTTTCATGCATTGGTGAAATGGTGACCTTGCTCAAATTTGTGTGTGTGATGCTATGTTTTTTGCTGTTGTGTCTGACGGTTGCTTAACCTGCCCATGTGTTGTAGAAGTCGCATGTTTTCATTTGTTGTATGGTTGTTTTATAGGGACTGGTGAGGTGGCAGGGATAAGCACAGAGCCTGTACTGTCTCAGTGTGCTAGCGTGGGAGTGTGAACACACACATTAATTAGGACAGTTTGAATCCATTAGAAACATTTGTTTTCCTAGCTACAATTTTTTTTTAGTAAGAAAGCTTAAATAAGAAACTTAAATGAGAAGTCTTACTCTTTGCCATTCCGCAAATATAGTATCAGGTTCACATAAAATAACAACAAAAATCAAAATTCTAGCATCAAGGAATGAAACAATTCTTTTAAAATCTTCAAACTTTAAATGTGCAAAGTACTTAAAGTAAAACCTGACAATACGAACTTGCTTAAGAAGAAAGATTACTGTCGCGGCAGGGCCCTATGTGTCATTACTATAAGTCCCTAGTTAACATAAACAAACTTTACTCTAGTTGCCTTGTTAGCGAGGTTTTACTATATTTCACTAACTATAAATAGAGAATGATAGCCACATTGATTATTTTGTGTGGCTTGTTATCTTAACAATAATTTTGATGTCAATAATGTCATTTGTGAACTTTTCATTCTGTTCCCATAGCATGTCTCGTCTTTTGTATGCCCACACTGGCTTTTTTTTCTCTTGAAATGTTCTCCCCCCCTCCCCCTGGGTTGTCGTGAATCCTACCAGGCAGGTCATGCCATAGTGTGATCTAATTTATTATTCTGTAGATATGTTGGTTTGTACAATTTTCTTACCGATTTTCTAAATGACCACGTGTCACTTACAAGGGAATGAACTTTAATAAGCCTTGTTTAATAAATAACCATTTTTTGCTTCGTTTCAATGTTTATTTCAAATTTTTTTTTCTTCAAAGTTTTGTCTTGTTTCAATGTTTAGTCTTGTTTCAGATTTTCGTCTTGTTTAAGTGTTCATTTTTGTTTTAGTTTTAGTTTTCAGTGTTCTGGGTATTCTTTTAATGTTTCAGTTTTGCACAGGTACTCCTCCTGTCCCTAGTTATTTTCTGTGACCCCAATACCTTTCTCTCTTTGACAATATTTACCTAAGAAATACTGCTATGTAGAGCAGAAATAGTTGATGAAATATCAGTTCTCTGACCTTGTTTAATGGATACAGTTTGCAGGAGAAATTTCAAGCAGGATATCTGATTGTGAGAACATTAGTGCACTGGCTACATAGATTGTCCGACCGCCTTTGGGTTCAAATCTTCAGCGAGGCAGATTTTTAAAAAATATAATGACCCTGCTGCGAGGTCAGCCTAGCCTAAAATGGGAAGCAGAAGCTCCCCTGGGAAATAAAGATGGCTGACGCCATGTTAAGCATACCACATCACCCACTGGTTGGTGTTTGGTGTTGAGAAGGGTCTGTCGCCTTACTATGATATTGTGTAACTACTGTTTTTCATTTCTCACCTGTGTTGAACAGGCTACACCGGTGTCTGTCAAACTTTTTTACAGATGCTGTAATTGTAACATGGTATTTGGGACTGGATTACAGGATACGGCTTGCTGGGGTGTGTTTAACCTTCAGGCAGCAGTCTTGAGGGGAAAACAGACAGACAGAAGCAAACGTAATAAAAGCTTATAAAAACAAGTCAGAAATGGTGATGCCCACTGAGCCATGGGATGTCTTATCTTGGGATGTGTGGTCAACAGAATGCCTGCTGCCTTTACCTCCAAGTTTATGTCCTGCTTTCAGTTTTAGGCCTGAATGCACTT